GTTACATAGAATTATCATACATAGCAGCATGTGTGTAGGGAACCTAGGATAACCCAAATGGGTTACGCCCCCGCGGTCCGTTCTGTGGCCAGGCCTCATGGTGGATCAGGGCCTGATCAACCAGGCTGTTACTCTTGGCCGCACACAACCCGACGTACGAACCATAGCCCGCTTGGTCAGGTGCTGACTTTAGGTGCCTGTCCAGTGCCTTCTCGAAGACACCTGGGGGAAGATACTTGTCCAGTTTCTTCTTGAAGACTTCTACATTTGTTCTAACATTGTCTCTAATATCTTCTGGTAAGATGTTGAATAGTCTGGGACCCCGGACGTTGATACAGTGTTCTCTTATTGTGCCCACTGCACCCCAGCTTTTCAGTTGGTTTATTTTACAGTTCCATATCTCGTGGTTGAAGTGGTAACCTATTCGGTTCACAAGCGAATGAGCCGAGTACAAATTGAAATGTTGGGCATGTTTCTTTTACACGTAATGCCCCTGTTCATCTAGCAGTATCTCTTGTGGGTGGCATCCTGGGAAAGACAGCAAAAGGATCCCAATAGAAAATCACAGTGCCATCCTTGAGTTATCCTGGGTTACTATCTTTTCGATAATCCAGTAGCACTGTTGCGACTTAATAATTTTTTTCCAAAAAAGTGTGTAATAGCGAGGAAGTAGCCACTTAATTAAAATAACCGTCAAATTATTATTACAATCCAGACTAAGCGCGAAACCCACAAGGGTCATACAGCGCTGAAGACCCGTTAAAAATCAGTTGCAATAAATAAGAGAGGCGTTCAATTGTTCGATTTCTGCCCGATAAGTATGTTATTACCTGGAGTTTACCTGGAGAGAGTTCCGGGGGTCAACGCCCCTGCGGCCCGGTCTGTGGCCAGGCCTCCTGGTGGATAAGAGCCTGATCAACCAGGCTGTTACTGCTGGCTGCACGCAAACCAACGTACGAGCCACAGCCCGGCTGGTCAGGAACCGACTTTAGGTGCTTGTCCAGTGCCAGCTTGAAGACTGCCAGGGGTCTGTTGGTAATCCCCCTTATGTATGCTGGGAGGCAGTTGAACAGTCTCGGGCCCCTGACACTTATTGTATGGTCTCTTAACGTGCTAGTGACACCCCTGCTTTTCATTGGGGGGATGTTGCATCGTCTGCCAAGTCTTTTGCTTTCGTAGTGAGTGATTTTCGTGTGCAAGTTCGGTACTAGTCCCTCTAGGATTTCCAGGTGTATATAATCATGTATCTCTCCCGCCTGCGTTCCAGGGAATACAGGTTTAGGAACCTCAAGCGCTCCCAGTAATTGAGGTGTTTTATCTCCGTTATGCGCGCCGTGAAGGTTCTCTGTACATTTTCTAGGTCAGCAATTTCACCTGCCTTGAAAGGTGCTGTTAGTGTGCAGCAATATTCCAGCCTAGATAGAACAAGTGACCTGAAGAGTGTCATCATGGGCTTGGCATCCCTAGTTTTGAAGGTTCTCATTATCCATCCTGTCATTTTTCTAGCAGATACGATTGATACAATGTTATGGTCCTTGAAGGTGAGATCCTCCGACATGATCACTCCCAGGTCTGGCGTTGGTGTTTCGCTCTATTTTGTGGCCAGAATTTTGTATATTTATCCATATTTATAGAAAATTAACTGACGATAAGAAAATAATATACACGGGGGCTTCCGTAGTTCGGGATGTATAATACATTAGATTTAGAACGTTGGTATCCCCACCCAGTCTGCTGGTATCCCTACGCAGACTGTTGGTATCCTCCACTCAGTCTGCTAGTATTCCTACTCAGGCTGTTGGCATCCCCACCCAGTCTGCTGGTATCCCCAACCAGTTTGTTGGTATCCCTTTGCAGACTGTTGGCATACCCACCCAGTCTGTTGGTATCCCCACGCAGACTGTTGGCATCCCCACGCAGGCTGTTAGCATCACGCAGGCTGTTGGTATCCCCGCACAGGCTGTTGGTATCCCCACTCACGCTGTTGGTATCCCCACGCAGGTTGTTGGTATCCCCACTCAAGCTGTTGACATCCCCAATCCTTCCAGGGAGGCTTGGTCAAGGACTGGACCGCGGGGGCGTCGACTCTCAGAACACCCTGGAGGTAGACTCCTGGTATCACCACGCAGGCTGTTCGTGTCACCACGTTCACTGTTAAAGCTGCAAGATGTGCTGCTTCACGAACAGTGACCTGGGGTCGTCCATAGTGTAAAATATACATAAGTTCTAGTGAGGGACACAGCACTGCCATATATTGTGAAGGAATGACCCCTCAGACCAAGCTTATGTTGGGACTGTCTCTGTGTAGAGATTTATCAACCTGAGGACAGTGGAGCATGTGAATGCTAGGACCTATTGATCCATGCTAGGCATGTTCATTTCACACCCAGCTACATCCACTCATCCACTCGTGTACCTAGAGTATATTTAAAGCTAACCAAAATTCTCGATCCAGCGACACTACCTGGGAGTTTGTTCCGCTTATCTACAACTCAGTTACTAAATTAATTCTTACCTGCATCCTTTCTTGATCATAACTGCAACGTGTTTTTTTCACGTCTTGTCTATATCGTTACAGTTAATTTAACATTTTTATTATGCACCCTATACCCATCCTGTGGGTGGTAGTTAAAAGAATACAGAGGTACGTAATGGGTCCAGGGACTGGGCCGCAAAATTTTTGAGAGCTGAACAAGTTACAGTGGTAATGAACTAGTTACATGTTTATATCCGGCCACAATCATCATGAGTTATTTATGCAGATATTAATTAGGTTTTCTCTCTCAGAGAGAGAGAGAGAGAGAGAGAGAGAGAGAGAGAGAGAGAGAAATGCTTTATTTACATTGAGCAAAGTCAGGATATTTTTCCAGAATAATTTGTAAAATCTCATTATGGATAAAATACTTTGATATTTCTTTAACGTTTATGAGTGAGTTGTCTCTGAATTCATTAATTTTATTAACCATTTGCTTCCATACACAAGCAGTGCACAATAAGCTGTGAGACAGAAAACTTCAGTACATCAGTAGTAATAATACAGCAGCATAGCAAATTAAATTTCCAGTAAATGATATAATTTTTGTAATATGTTTCTAATTTCCAGTAAATGTTATAATCTCTGTAATTGTTTCTAACACAGTAACTTTTATTAGAAAGTCTTATAAAGGTTTATGTAATGTTTTCTTTACAATAACGAGTACATTATGAACCTCCCCAATAACAAGATAAAAAAGTTATTACATTTATTTTTTTTAAATTTTACACTACTTAATTTTACACTGAAAATAAAATCATCTGTGATGAAAAGTATAGTGTAATTCACAGACTCTTAAAGCATTTTCCAACACACCCCTGGCTGCCTTTTAGAGGGAACTTAAGTTCCTTAAGTCATTCACCGAACAGCAGGGCTGTGGTGAATGAAGAGGACTTGCGTGCAGCTGGCATCAACAGTCCAGCCGATCATGCCACCAACCAAGAGGTCCCAGACACAAGGAGTCTTCTGTTTGACCTCGCAAGCAAGATACAGCTTCATACATTTGAAAGCCATACGTCCATCTTCTTTTCGACACAAGCATTCACAACATTTGCTTTATCCACCACCAGTGAACCTACTAACATTAAATAGCTTACGCTTCACGTACACGTATGGCAGTTAACCTTAGTCAAATATACAACATTGATCAAACACATTTTTCTCTTCTCTTCTCACTTCATCCTCTTCTTCATCTCATTCTTTTCTATTCTTCATCTCACTCTTCTCATTTCTTGAGGGACTGATCACCTTAAAAAATAAATCTTTACCTTGCTAATATTCCTACCATCTTCATATTTAGTCACCTCTGTAATTGACTAAAGAAGCCTACTATGTGGGCGAAACGTTGCAACAGTGAAGATACCCAGATGTTGTACGTACGTCTTACGCATCTACCAGTGTATATCATAGAATTTAATCCCAATTAAAGGGTTAAATGTGCAATCGACAGACTTTAAAACTAACGAACTGAGAAATACATATAGGCGTATATATCCTGCGTGGGCTGTGACTCGATAAAAAATTTTGAATGTTTTCGAAAATATATAAATTAAAAATGTTTATAACTATGGTTCAGATCAAAGTGAAATTATTAATCAGATGCAATCCACTAGTACTGATTTTTTTTTTCAACATAATGGTGGCCTCCCACCGAGGCAGCGTGATTCCTAAAAGAAAAAAACCTTATAAAGCTTTTCTTTTTACATTTAGTAATTTATACAATAGGGGTTACTAGCTCCTTGCTCCCGGCATTTTAGTCGCCACTTACGACACGCATGGCTTACGGAGGAGAGAGTCTTGTCCACTTGCACATGGAGAATAGTACTGATACACAAAGAACTTTCAGTAAGAAAGGTTGAGAAACTTGGACAAAGTGATGAATTACCTTCTTCATGTATCTAATATACCATTAATTTTCTTATGTTTGAGCAATTTTTTTCTGTTGTCTACCATTTTATGCATGTATTGTCAGTGTTAATGTTATTTACTCTGTGTTGACGGGCCTACAAATAACCTTGCTAAAATCTTGAATCACTAACCTGTAACTCACAGGTATGGACCTTTAATATCGCCCTTGTACCTTGCGATTCACGCTTTGTCGCCCCCCTCCCCCCCTCCAGTCCCCAAGTTGCGCACGACCTCCTGAATCACCATCAGCTCAGCTACTGGGTTAAGCCCTGGTTCTTTCCCTCTTACAAAAACCCTTCCTCTAACCAACCTATTCTTCCTCTATCCCCACTTCCCATCTCACCCCTTCTTGGGGTCTTACCTAGAATATCTTGATCTTGACGGGCCTAATAATTGATGTTCATGCTTGTGCTGATGGCGCTGATGTTCATGCTTGTGTTTATATAAGCTTGTGTTGATACGTGTATTGGTGTTTATACTTGTGTTGATGTATGTGATTGTGTTGGTGATTTTACTTGCGTTGATGCGTGTGCCGATGATGTATATGCCCGTGTTTCAGATCCTGAGCTTCGGGGGGCTTGTTGTCGAGGAAGCCGCGGGTGACCGCAAGAGAAATGTAATGATATACTTCCACTTAGAGGACGATACTCTACGCCTTGTGGAACTGCCTACACCTAATGCTGGCGCCGTCCAGGGTACGTCACATACACACAAGCCATCAAAACCTCACTCTTCTCCCTTTATGCCATTTAACCAGCAAGACATACCTTAACATAAGCATTACAAATTCATTCATCTCTTCCTCTGTTGGGAACTGGTCGATGCCACTACTGTACTTCGATATGGTTAGGTAATTTATTTTAGCAATTTGTATTTCGGGGGAATCGTTAAACCCGTAGGGGTCATACAGCGCCTGGAAATGAGCTGCAACTGGGTTAGATCCAAGGAAAGGGAGGAACAAACCCAGTTCCTTAAATCACGAGCCCCTTCTCACCTGCGTCAAAGAGGTGAGACTTGGGTATAGAAAAATTGTGTTCATTTATCGTAAAACTGGGGCCAAGACCCCGGATCCATTATATACCTCGGTTTTGTTGGGTGATTATGATTTACAGTGTGCGTGCAACTAGTGGGATTGACGGAGGAAGGGTCGGGTGGAGCAGAGTGGAGAGTTCCCTATTGAGAAGTGGATCTTGGGGGGGGGGAATAACATTGGATCAGGCAATGGTCAGTTTTTTCAGGTAGTCATGAATTATTTTGCCTGGCGGTGACTAATTCTGTTTGTTATATTACTTCTGAATCATTCATAAAATAGTCAAATCTGTTTATTTAGATAGGTCTCTCAACGCTGGGTCAATTTAAGAGGGGAGGGGGAATTAACGTGGTTGTGTAGTTTGAATATTCATACCATAGGGTTTCTCAGGAAAGGGCGCCATCCTCCTTGCCCTCCCATTGGTATAAAACTCTCTCAAGCGCCTGGTAACCTGTTTCGAGGTGCTCTGACGGAGAAACAGAAATACTGGTGAAGACCAGATATATGTTAGTTTCCCCAGAATACATAAAATCGTCATCGTAATTAAAAGTTAAGTTTACCTAGCAGTAAATAGGTAGCTGGGAGTTAGTTGGCCGTTGTGGGTTGCATCCTGAACAGGAATGCGAACCACAGCGTATGGACACGTCTCCTTAAACCTGCCATTTTTCACTTAGCAGTACATAGGCACCTGGGTATCGTGTTAGGCCATTGTTCGGGGTCAGGAAAACGACTGTTGTGAGGTAGGAAGCCTAATTCTGGTATGTCAGCAGTCCAGAATACTAGCGAAGCGCCGTCAGTAGGTCACTTTTTCTTGAACAGTGTGTGCTTTATTCACTTATTGAGGATTATAGAGATATACAGCGTAATCTGTGATATGTCACCATGTCTTATTAATGAGAATAAGATGCCAGACTTATTAAGCAAATCTCCTAAATTTGTTTGCAACAGTATATATAAATCCAGATCTACCCTTTTGGGGCCTAGCTCTTAGGTCTTTTGTGTATCCATATGCTCTTGCGCTACCGTCCACAGGATGGATGTTGGGTGCACAATAAACTAACAGCTTTGCTGGCAACATCTATGGTGAACAAAACACTACTTGCAGAGGGTCTTTAATGAATGGTACAGCGTTTCACCACAGATGTACTTAATAAAAACTGGTGAAACGTTATACCAATAAAGACTACAGTGCAATTAGTGTTTTACCACGCCAGCTGATGCTTAAGTTCCACTGATCGGGGTCATTACATGACAATAACCTGAGCCAGGATGCATAAACTATTTCCTGTTCATATTGAGTTTTCTTGCTCGAACTACAGCTTAAATTCTCCAACATTAAGGGGGTTGTGCAATTTACATAAAGCAGACTAATAGTTAAATTCAGTATTGACTTTGTTTCCTAACGAATAAAACACCAGCACACTGCTAACAATAGTTTGCAAAATAATAATGCAGAGAGACTGCAAAAATAAAAGAATGTAGTAGTATTGGTGTTGCAGGGACCCTGGTGGGGAGACAGCGTGTGGCCACCTCCACACACCCTCTTGCTCCACACCTTACCCTCCACCATTTCAAGGTAATGTATGTTCTCCATCTATTTACCTCACTTCAACTTTTCCACGTCTCTTCACGTCATGTCTCCCCCTGGCGTGAGCACCACCTCTCCCTCATATCAGCACTCCCGTCTCTCTCCCTCACGTTAGCACCTCCGTCTCTCTCGTATCAGTACTTCCGTCTCTCTCGTATCAGTACTTCCGTCTCTCTCGTATCAGTACCTCCATCTCTCGCGTATCAGCACCTCCATCATCTTTCGTATCAGCACCTCCGTCTCTTTCGTATCAGTACCTCCATCTCTCGCGTATCAGCACTTCCATCATCTTTCGTATCAGTACCTCCACATCTCTCGTATTAGCGCCTCCACTTCACTTTCTCACGACAGCACCTGCATCTCTCTCCCTTGCGTGAGAACCTCCTCTCCCTTGCGTGAGAACCTCCTCTCCCTTGCATCAGCACTCACATCTTTCCCACGTTACCACCTCCATCACTTTAATTAAAGTTTAGCTTTTGCTACCTCTACAGGTAGTTTAACATTTCTAAGAAAAAAAAAATGAGTTTCTCTATGGGATATAATTTTAAGTAATGTGCAAACTTTTTTTTCTTAGGGTCAGTTGCTGAATATATAATACATAATTTGAATTAAAGACCAGTGTAGTTTTCATATCCCGAACTACAAGTTATCTGTAGAAGTTACCTCCAAGCTGGCATTTGTAGTGTATATGTAGTATGTATGCCTAGTTTAGATAAATATATACATTATAAATTGTTTACAGTAATCATACATTTTTGTATGTTATAATGTGTACGTTATAATGTGGGTTACATTAAATATTTGTCGAAACAGTGAGGAAAATCGAATAATATATAATATGCAGTCATTGGTGAGTGCAACAGTGTAACACAGGCTGGTTGTGTTGATGTAGTAATGAGGACGGCAGAGGGATCCTAACAAGTGAGAGGCTGTAATATTTTGGTGCATATTTAACTTCGTTATCTAAAAATATCATAAGTCAGTAATATATTTCTGAATGAATAATCAATTATACTTTCATAAATCGAAGCAACATTGAAACTGAACATGTTTAGTCTCTGAAGTGAGGTTATGAGGGCTGGCGTCATGAAACTTTAAAATTTCTTAATGGAAGCTACAGAAATGAAGCCTACAGATACATAAAATGAGTTCTACTTTCGTAGAATTAATTTATATTTAGTATGGAATTGACATGGGTATGGTAACGTGATTAACAGCCCATTCGCTGTGGCGTGCATGTCCAGACTAAATCCCATGTATACACAAGACTTATAACGCTGTGTGATATTAACAGTACCATAAGACCACCATTCGTTAGGTTATTTGACAATTATTAATACAGGGGTATCAGATGTTCCAGTGTAAGCATAGTGCCTCCCCCAGAAGCGAGTACTATGAGACTGAACTATGAAGTTATATTCAGTATATGCCACAGTGTATACAGTGCAGTGTGGCAACAACCAATAAGAGTAGATCGCTTCATTGACTGGTGGATTAAGACTTCAGGTCAAACCGGGTTCAGGATAAAACACGTCTAACCTTAATATACATGAACTGATGATTACCCATTTATCTGCTTAGATAGAGCTCGAAAAATTCTAATTAGGTCGTAATATTGTACTCCTTTTAGTTGTTGTCTCTGGCTGGGTTATTGAGGCAGGAAACATTCCTATTAACCTCCCCCTCCCTCTCCCTTCCTGGGTTAGTTAGCATGGTTGGGTCTACCTACCTCGAGGCTACCTGGAGGTTATTCCGGTCAAAGCCCCCGCGGCCTGTCAGAGCAAAATTTGTCAGGAAACCGGACAAATGTTTCTTGAAGTGGGTCTCAGTCATATGATGACCCGCCGCTGGAGACCCGGGCCAGGACCCATCCTGGCGAACTTACCTGCTACTGGAGCTTCTAAAAGGTCATTGACTCAGACCTTCAGCCGGCTTACCAGTCTACTTTAAAATTAAGATTATAATTATAACCATGGGGAAGTGGAACAGAATTCTTCCTCCGTAAGTCATGCGTGTTGTAAGAGGCGACTAAAATGCCGGGAGCAAGGGGCTAGTAACCCCTTCTATATATATTTACTAAATTTAAAAGGAGAGACTTTAGTTTTTCTTTTTTGGCCGCCCTGCCTCAGTGGGATACGGCCGGTACGTTGAAAGAAAATGAATTATAACCGGTAATATGAAGGTTAGGTAAGATTTGTCATGTAGGTGATCTTGGTTGGCAATATGACGTTTTTCAGAGCATAGTTCTAGCTGCCCAGACAACTTTTGTTCCGAGTAGGGAAATTAGATCTAACAAAAATGATCCCAAATGGATGAACAATATATAGGCATATATAGGCGTATCAAAATAGGGGATGGGCAGTTAAGAAAGGAAAAAGAAAAGCAAAAAGGGATTATGAGGCTAAGGTCGCAAGGGATTCGAAGACTAACCCAAAAGTGTTCTTTCAGGTATACAGAAGTAAGATTAGGGACAAGATTGGCCCACTTAAGAGTAACTCTGGTCAGATCACTGACAGTGATAAGGACATGTGTGAAATTTTCAATACCTACTTCCTCTCAGTTTTTACCCAGGAAAATACTAGCGAAATTCCTGAAATAATAGATTATGTAGAACAGGACGATAATAAACTATGCACGATTGCGGTAACTAGTGACATGATCCTCAGACAAATAGAGAAATTAAAACCTAACAAATCCCCAGGCCCTGATGAACTGTTTGCAAGGGTTAAAGGAATGTAAAGAGGAACTTAGCATACCTTTGGCTAATCGTTTTAACATACCACTACAAACTGGCATAGTGCCTGATAAGTGGAAAATGGCAAATGTAATACCTATTTACAAGGCAGGTGACAGATCCTTGGCTTTGAACTATAGACCAATAAGCCTTACCTCCATTGTGGGAAAGTTTATGGAATCAATAATTGCCGAAGCAATTCGTAGCCATCTTGATAGGCATAGTTTGATTAATGAATCTCAACACGGTTTTACAAAGGGGCGTTCCTGTCTTACGAATTTACTAACTTTTTTCACTAAGGTGTCTGAGGAGGTAGATCATGGTAATGAGTATGATATTGTGTATATGGATTCAGTAAGGCTTTCGATAGAGTCCCACATCAGAGGCTATTGAGGAAACTTAAGGCACACGGAATAGGAGAAAAATTTGTCCTGGGTAGAGGCATGGCTGACAAATAGGAAGCAGAGAGTTTGCATAAATGGGCAGAAATCAGAGTGGGGGCACGTCACAAGCTGTGTTCCTCAGGGGTCAGTGTTGGGCCCGTTGTTGTTCACAATTTGCATAAACTACATAGATGAGGGAATAAATAGCAACATAAGCAAATTTGCTGATGGCACCAAAATAGGTCGTCCAGTTCATTCTAATGAGGACACTAGAGCACTCCAGGATGATTTGAATAGACTGATGCAATGGTCGGAGAAGTGGCAGATGCTGTTTAATATAAACAAATGCAAAGTTCTAAATGTTGGACAGGTAAATAACCATGCCACATATAAAGTAAATAATGTAGATCTTAATACTACTGATTGCGAAAAGGATTTAGGAGTTCTGGTTAGCAGTAATCTAAAACCAAGACAACAGTGCATTAGTGTTCGCAATAAAGCGAACAGAATTCTTGGCTTCATATCTAGAAGTATAAATAAAAGTCCTCAGGTTGTTCTTCAACTCTATATATTCTTGGTTAGGCCTCATTTAGATTGTGCTGCTCAGTTTTGGTCACCGTATTGCAGAATGGATATAAATGCTCTGGAAAACGTACAGATGAGGATGACAAAGATGATCCCATGTATCAGAAATCTTCCCTATGAAAATAGAGTGAAGGCTCTGACTTTGCATTCTCTAGAAAGGCGTAAAATTAGGGGGGATATGATCAAGGTGTATAAATGGAAAACAAGAATAAATAAAGGGGATGTAAGCGTGCTGAAAATTTCCAGCCAAGACAGGACTCGCAGCAATGGTTTCAAGTTTGAAAAATTCAGATTCAGGAAGGATATAGGAAAGCACTGGTTTGATAATAGAGTTGTGGATGAGTGGAACAAACTCCCGAGTACAGTTATAGAGGCTAAAACGTTGTGTAGTTTTAAAAATAGGTTAGATAAATACATGAGTGGGTGTGAGTTGGACCTGACTAGCCTGTGCTGCTAGGTCTGATGCCGTGCTCCTTCCTTAAGTGGAAGTGACCTGACTTGGTGGGTCATTGGGCTGATCCGGGGGGGGGGGATATGGACCTGCTCCGCATGGGTCAGTAGGCCTGTTGCAGTGTCCCTTCTTTCTTATGTTCTTATGAGACAGGACAAGTGTTTCCTGACGTGGGTCTTAGCCATATGTTGACCCTTCGCTGGAACTTTTGGTCATCTGACCGAGGCCTTCCACTGGCTTACCCCCTCTAAAAGTTATGGTATGAACTTTGCAATTTCTTGTTATTTATCTTTCGTCATAATCTTTTAAGGACCCCATAATTCTATGCAAACAAGTCACATACAATCCATTATTTTCATCGATAATAGTTTCCAGTGTTGAATATATAATCAAAAGGGTGGGGTTGGCACCGACCATTCTAAGGGTAACCGTGGCTGGTGACACACTTGCACTACGCTACTCTGAGAATTCTCTTCCTGCTTTAGTTGCTCTCTTGCAACATTGCACAGCTCCTGATGAACCACTGAGAAGTGTGAAAGTACTGGAGCTAAAGATTTCCACCCCCCGTGGCTCGTCTTGCATATAAATACAATATAATAAATATCTCTTAAATTTATGAGCATGAATCAAGGAGAGTTGTCGGGAGGGACGCAGCTCACATACTCTAAAATGTATTCCAAAAGTAACAGTATTTGTTACAGGTGGGTGAATATGTGACTGTGTTGGGTCGCCGGTATCTAGTGACCAGCTGTGACCGAGCCACCAGGACCTACCTCACATCTCTTGGCCTCGCCCCGCAGCCAGACCTCGCACCTCACCCTACTACTGTGACTCAGGTCGGACCTCAAACTTGTGTACTCGCTGCTTGATAATGATTCGTAACCGATAGAACGTCATCTAGTTACCATTACAGATTTTTTGAGTAGTCAATATTGCAATCAAATGCAAAATTATGGTAAACACTGGTCAGTATTTTGAAGATGCAAGTTGCAGAACTTATCAGGACAAAATCTCGCTGTTTACAGCTTTATTAATACAACTCGACAAAATAAAGCGTTGTCCCACTGAAAACTTCTGCGACTGTGTGTGTGTCTGTTTTTTTTTTTTTTTGGCGGTATCCATTTCATCCTGAAGATGAGACAAGTATTGTTGTGTTTTGGGCCACCAGGGTGAGGAACTGACCACCTCAAAACTGTTATAAGAGTGAGGGACTGACCACCTCAAAACTGTTATAAGAGTGAGGGACTGACCACCTCAAAACTGTTATAAGAGTGAGGGACTGACCACCTCAAAATGTTATAAGGGTGAGGGACTGACCACCTCAAAACTGTTATAAGAGTGAGGGACTGACCACCTCAAAACTGTTATAAGGGTGAGGGACTGACCACCTCAAAACTGTTATAAGAGTGAGGGACTGACCACCTCAAAACTGTTATAAGGGTGAGGGATGACCACCTCAAAACTGTTATAAGGGTGAGGGACTGACCACCTCAAAACTGTTATAAGAGTGAGGAAACTGACCACCTCAAAACTGTTATAAGGGTGAGGGACTGACCACCTCAAAAACTGTTATAAGGGTGAGGGACTGACCACTCAAAACTGTTATAAGGGTGAGGGACTGACCACCTCAAAACTGTTATAAGGGTGAGGAACTGACCACCTCAAAACTGTTATAAGGGTGAGGGACTGACCACCTCAAAACTGTTATAAGGGTGAGGGACTGACCACCTCAAAACTGTTATAAGGGTGAGGGACTGACCACCTCAAAAACTGTTATAAGGGTGAGGGACTGACCACCTCAAAACTGTTATAAGGGTGAGGGACTGACCACCTCAAAACTGTTATAAGGGTGAGGGACTGACCACCTCAAAACTGTTATAAGGGTGAGGAACTGACCACCTCAAAACTGTTATAAGGGTGAGGGACTGACCACCTCAAAACTGTTATAAGGGTGAGGGACTGACCACCTCAAAACTGTTATAAGAGTGAGGGACTGACCACCTTAAAACTGTTATAAGAGTGAGGGACTGACCACCTTAAAACTGTTATAAGGGTGAGGGACTGACCACCTCAAAACTGTTATAAGGGTGAGGAACTGACCACCTCAAAACTGTTATAAGGGTGAGGGACTGACCACCTCAAAACTGTTATAAGGGTGAGGGACTGACCACCTTAAAACTGTTATAAGGGTGAGGGACTGACCACCTCAAAACTCTGATAAGGGTGAGGGACTGACCACCTCAAAACTGTTATAAGAGTGAGGGACTGACCACCTTAAAACTGTTATAAGGGTGAGGAACTGACCACCTCATAACTGTTATAAGGGTGAGGAACTGACCACCTCAAAACTGTAATAAGAGTGAGGGACTGACCACCTTAAAACTCTTATAAGAGTGAGGGACTGACCACCTCAAAACTGTTATAAGGGTGAGGGACTGACCACCTCAAAACTGTTATAAGGGTGAGAAACTGACCACCTCAAAACTGTTATAAGGGTGAGGGACTGACCACCTCAAAACTGTTATAAGGGTGAGGAACTGACCACCTCAAAACTGTTATAAGGGTGAGGGACTGACCACCTCAAAACTGTTATAAGGGTGAGGGACTGACCACCTCAAAACTGTTATAAGAGTGAGGAACTGACCACCTCAAAACTGCTATAAGGGTGAGGGATTGACCACCTTAAAACTGCTGTGAGTGTGAGGGACTAATCACCTCAAAAACTCCCCTGTGAGGGCGAGGGATTGACCACCTTAAAGCTGCTGTGAGTGTGAGGGACTAACCACCTCAAAACTGCTGTGAGGGTGAGGGAGTGACCATCTCAAAACTGTTGAGGGTGAGGGACTGACCACCTGAAAACTTCTGTGAGGGTGAGGGACTGACCACCTCAAAACTGCTATAAGAGTAAGGGACTGACCACATAAAAACTGCTGTGAGTGTGAGGGACTGACCACCTCAAAACTGCTGTGAGAGTGAGGGACTGACCACCTTAAAACTGCTGTGAGTGTGAGGGACTAATCACCTCAAAACTGCTGTGAGGGTGAGGGACTGACCTTCTCAAAACTGTTGTGAGGGTGAGGGACTGACCACCTCAAAACTTCTGTGAGGGTGAGGGACTGACCACCTCAAACTGCTATAAGGGCGAGGGACTAACCACCTCAAAACTGCTGTGAGGGTGAGGGACTAACCACCTCAAAACTGCTGTGAGGGTGAGGGACTAACCACCTGAAAACTGCTGTGAGGGTGAGGGACTGACCACCTGAAAACTGCTGTGAGGGTGAGGGACTGACCACCTCAGAACTACTACTACAAGGCTGAGGGACTGACCACCTCAAAACTACTACTACAAGGCTGAGGGACTGACCACCTCAAAACTACTACTACAAGGCTGAGAGACTGACCACCTCAGAACTACTACAACAAGGCTGAGAGACTGACCACCTCAGAACTACTACAACAAGGCTGAGAGACTGACCACCTCAGAATACTACAACAAGGCTGAGGGACTGACCACCTCAGACTCTACAACAAGGCTGAGGGACTGACCACCTCAGAACTACTACAACAAGGCTGAGAGACTGACCACCTCAAAACTACTACAACAAGGTGAGGGACTGACACCTCAACACTACTACAACAAGGCTGAGGGACTGACCACCTCAGAACTACTACAACAAGGCTGAGGGACTGACCACCTCAGAACTACTACAACAAGGCTGAGGGGACTGACCACTCAGAACTACTACAACAAGGCTGAGAGACTGACCACCTCAGAACTACTACAACAAGGCTGAGAGACTGACCACCTCAGAACTACTACAACAAGGCTGAGGGACTGACCACCTCAGAACTACTACAACAAGGCTGAGAGACTGACCACCTCAGAACTACTACAACAAGGCTGAGAGACTGACCACCTCAACACTACTACAACAAGGCTGATGGACTGACCACCTCAACACTACTACAACAAGGCTGAGGGACTGACCACCTCAGAACTACTACAACAAGGCTGAGGGACTGACCACCTCAGAACTACTACTACAAGGCTGAGAGACTGACCACCTCAGAACTACTACTACAAGGCTGAGGGACTGACCACCTCAGAACTACTACAACAAGGCTGAGGGACTGACCACCTCAGAACTACTACAACAAGGTTGAGGGACTGACCACCTCAGAACTACTACAACAAGGCTGAGGGACTGAGCACCTCAGAACTACTACAACAAGGCTGAGGGACTGACCACCTCAGAACTACTACAACAAGGCTGAGGGACTGACCACCTCAGAACTACTACAACAAGGCTAAGGGACTGACACACCTCAGAACTTACTACAACAAGGCTAGAGGGACTGACCACCTCAGAACTACTACAACAAGGCTGAGGGACTGACCACCTCAGAAACTACTACAACAGGCTGAGGGACTGACCACCTCAGAACTACTACTACAAGGCTGAGGGACTGACCACCTCAGAACTACTACAACAAGGCTGAGGGACTGACCACCTCAGAACTACTACTACAAGGCTGAGGGACTGACCACCTCAGAACTACTACAACAAGGCTGAGGGACTGACCACCTCAGAACCCGGAGGGTTAGCCACCTAAGATAACCCAAGAAAGTCAGTGCGTCATCGAGGACTGTCTAACTTATTTCCATTAGGGTCCTCAATCTTGTCCCCCAGGATGCGACCCACACCAGTCGACTAACACCCAGGTACCTATTTGCTGCTACGTGATCAGGACAACAGGTGTAAGGAAACGCGTCGAAATGTTTCCACCCGCCGGGAATCGAACCCGAGCCCTCCGTGTGTGAAGCGGGAGCTTTAGCCACCAGGCCACGGGCCACCCACAGCTGGAGCTTTTGGTCATCTGACCAAGCAGTGTGATTGACGCAAATATTCTATGTACCTTTATAAGTGTTTAATGGAGCTGTAGCAATTTTTTTTAAGTAACTGTAAACATTTTTAAATGTAGCTGTAATTTTTGTATGTATAGTAGTAACATTTTTTGTATTTTTTTTTTTACGTAGGTTAGAAAGACACAAGTGGGAATAGTTGGGCTTGAGTAGAAGCAGCATAACCTGGGCCAGTAGAGTTACTGCAGTCATTATCTGTTTGTAGCTACAAAAATTGATCTTTGGGTCCCGTGTTTAGTAATACGTGCTTTATAATACGCATACACAATAAGGGCGCTATGAAATAAACACGCCTCTCCAACATCACATATAGAGGATTCAAGAAGCTTCATGATCCTCTTCTAATTCCTTGCAAAGTAACGCACAACTCTTACTGTCATTGTACTGCTGTGTTAATTTAATACATTTACAATCTCTAACTTACGGAATGGATATAAACGCACCGGAAAAGAGAGAAAGATGATATCCAGTTTTGCTTAATAATAAAAATACTCAATTTAATCACCTTGCCCATTATAAAGGTATGCCTGATTAGACTCGGCGTTGTGTCAGTGTTTTGTCATCCTATTTGCCCAGCACTACAGTCAAGAACAGTGGAACTCACAATATGATGGTTGCAACAGTTCATAACTGTCCCCACAAAGTGGCGATAATTCTTTAGACAACGTTTCGGTCGTTAAGAGACCATTATGAAGTAACGGAAGCAGAGCGGGGTGCAAGTGACAGTTTGGTTCGTTCATTGACCTCGACTACCACCTGGAGAAACTCCTCATATGTCTGTTGGTACTCTCCTATTCCCATCCTCGGGTTGAGTCTTGGCTCCTGTGCGAGTTTTTTTTTTTATGTTGAACTCAGATTCTCTTGCCGCTAGTTATCGTGGGCTATACTAGTATTGATTTTATTTCAGAAGAAAATAATTTGCTGGACCATTAAATTAATTTGTTTAACACGTACGCATCTAACATCCCAGTTAGTTTAATATGTTTATTATGCACCCCATACCCATCCTGTGGGCGGTAGTCAAAAGATTACAGAGGTACATAATTGGTCCAGGGACTGGACTCCAAAGTTTTGATAGCTGAGCAAGTTACAGAGGTAATGAACTCACAATTTACAAAGGTAATGAACTCCAGGTAGGTCTGGTCACAATCATGACAAGTTACAAAGGTATTTACAGATTACAGAGGTACGTAATGGGTCCAGGGTGAACGTTATTGAGACCTTAATGCATTATTGAGAGTTTAGATGCGTTATTAAGACTACTTATGCGTTACTGGTTTGGAATTGTCTTGTGCAACTCATCCTGTAATTTGTAAGGGGCGCAAACATAAAGAATTCCTCACTGATGAGTGCTTTTTTCTCTCCCCTCATGGGTGCGTGTGTGGGCGTGTGGCTTCAAGGTGGGCGTGTCCGAGACTGCGGGCGTGGGCAAGCTACAGTTCTCTAGTGAATGGCCGCGGCGTCATCCTCTAGCTACTTTTGTTAACAATTTTGGTCATGTGCTCAGGTACTAACCCAGAGCACCATCCCTATCATTACCATCACTATCACTACCAGCACCATCACTACCAGCACCATTACCAGCACTATCACTACCAGCACATTCACTACCAGCACTATCACTGTTACTACCACACCATTACTATCACTGCCAGCACCATCACTGTCACTACCAGCACCATCACTATCACTACCAGCACCATCACTACCAGCACCATTACCAGCACTATCACTACCAGCACCATTACCAGCACTATCACTGTCACTACCAGCACCATCACTGTCACTACCAGCACCATCACTGTCACTACCAGCACCATCACTGTCACTACCAGCACCATCACTATCACTACCAGCACCATCACTACCACTACCAGCACCACCATTACTACCAGCACCATCACTACCAGCACCATCACTATCTACCAGCACCACCACTATTACTACCAGCACCATCACTTCCAGCCCCATCACTTTCACTACCAGCCCCATCACTATCACTACCAGCCCATCACTATCACTACAAGCACCATCACTTCCATCACTATCACTACCAGCCCCATCACTATCACTTCCAGCACCATGACTATCACTACCAGCCCATCACTATCAGCACCATGACTATCACTACCAGCACCATGACTATCACTACCAGCACCATCACTATCACTGCCAACACCATCACTATCACTACCAGCACCATCACTGTCATTACCAGCACCATGACTATCACTACCAGCACCATGACTATCACTACCAGCCCCATCACTATCACTACCAGCCCCATCACTATCACTTCCAGCCCCATCACTATCACTACCATCACTATCACTACCATCACTATCACTACCAGCCCCATCACTATCACTACCAGCCCCATGACTATCACTACCAGCACCATGACTATCACTACCAGCACCATGACTATCACTACCAGCACCATCACTATCACTACCAACACCATCACTATCACTACCAACACCATCACTACCAACACCACCACTATCACTACCAGCACTATCACTACCAGCACCATCACTATCACTACCAGCACCATCACTATCACTACCAGCACCATCACTATATAGACAGCCTGTACTGTCTGCACATACAGCCTATGCTGTCTTCCAGCTTAGTTCATATTTCGTGGCACTCAGGTGCTGCCCTCTAGGCCTACCCAGGTCAGTGGGACGCTGGTCCCACTCGCTCACTCTCAGCGGCCTAGAAGCATTCAACAAGTCTACTCTCTATCTCCCTCGTGGGCATGGCCCTCCCGGGGCATGGGCACAACACAAGCCTGTGCTGTGTACCCACCACGACTTTGCAAATAAAATAAGAAGCCTCCGAAGACGTCTATAATTGAACCCCGCTCTGCAGGAGCCACCAAACAAACTGATTATAAATGGTGGGAAGCGGTGGTCGCAGCTGTTGTTTGCCCGGAGAGAGGAAGGAATGAAGTTGTTCACTTCATCACCCTACACAACAAGCATCCGTCTCTCATTGAGTTATCCTGTTGTCGTGTCTGCACGTTTCAGCATCCAGACACAGGTACAAGCAGGATCTAGCCGAAATTTACCGAATTTCTTCGAGAATTGTAAGTGGTGTCCCAGTGACCCCATGCCACGGCGTCCCACGCTGTTTCTCATGTTTTTTTCTTCCCTCCCTGTAGGAAGTTTTTTTTTCCGTGTCCATATGTATATACATGTTTTTTATTTTGTGTTTTGTGCCCTGTTCCTACGAGAGAGAGACCGAGTTATTTTTTACCGCCAGACTTGGTCGGGACGACCATGTGGTTGGTGGCCGAGTGAATGTAGACAGCCTGTATTGTCTGCACAGACAGCCTATGCTGTCTGCCAGCTTAGTTCATATTTCGCGGCACTCAGGTGCTGCCCTCTAGGCCTACCCAGGTCAGTGGGACGCTGGTCCCAGTCACTCACTCTCTCAGCGGCCTAGAAGCAGTCAGCAAGTCTACTCCCTCTCTCCCTCGTGGGCATGGCCCTCCTGGGCCATGGGCACAACACACAAGCCTGTGTACCCACCACGACTTTGCAAATAAAGCAAGAAGCCTCTGAAGACGTCTATAATTGAACTCCGCTCCGCTGCAGCATCACCAAATAATTTTGTTTCACAAAGGACCCCAATGGAAATAAGTCACTCTGTCTGACTTTTTTGGGTTATCCTAGGTTCTCTACACGGCATATGGTCACTCTCTTGAACACTGTGTGCTTAATTGTCCACTTATTGAGGAATACAGAGACAGACAGTATAATAACCTATGTGACATGTCAAGATATCTTATTAATGAAAATAAGATACCAGATATACTAAGCAAATTTCCTAAATTTGCTTGTAACAGATAAGTGAACTATAGATATGTAGATATAAATCCATATGTATTCCTGTTAACCCTTTGGGGCCTAGTTCCTAGGCCTTTTGTGTATCCATATGCTCTCGCGCTACCGTCCACAGGATGGATATGGGTGCACAATAAACTAGCCACTTCGGTGGCAAAATCTAAAAAAAAAAAAATCTAATCTCTACACATATGCTGCTATGTAGGATAATTCTATGTAACTGTATTTGTGTATACCTGAATAAACTTACTAATAACTATCACCACCAGCACCATCACTATCACCACCAGCACCATCACTATCACTACCAGCCCCATCACTATCACTACCGTCACTATTACTACCAACACCAGCACCATCACTACCAGCACCATCACTACCAATACCATCACTATCACTACCATCACTATCACTACCAGCACCATCACTACCAGCACCATCACTGTCACTACCAGCACCATCACTATCACTACCAGCACCATCACTGTCACTACCACCATCACTATCACTACCAGCACCATCACTATCACTACCAGCACCATCACTGTCACTACACCACCACTATCACTACCAGCACCATCACTATCACTACCAGCACCATCACTGTCACTACCAGCACCACACTATCACTACCAGCACCATCACTATCACTACCAGCACCATCACTATCACTACCAGCACCATCACTATCACTACCAGCACCATCACTATCACTACCAGCACCATCACTATCACTACCAGCACCACACTATCACTACCAGCACAATCACTATCACTACCAGCACCATCACTATCACTACCAGCACCACCACTATCACTACCAGCACCACCACTATCACTACCAGCACCATCACTATCACTACCAGCACCACCACTATCACTACCAGCACCATCACTATCACTACCAGCACCATGACTACCAGTAACACCGCTCTCTACTAGCACCATAAAGCTTGTACTGACCTTCAGTGTACTAATGTTTTTTTATATAAAGTGTCAGGACGCTGCTATGGGCTCTGGACATCTTGGTGAGTACATATAGGAAGTGCCGCCAGTCTAGCGCTCAGCAGACTGACTGCTGGGTTTAGCGTTTAAATTTATAAGCTGTGCGTTCTATAATTTTTTTTTTTTTTAGTAAATCAATCCAAAAAATTCTTAGGTTACCTAACAGTGGTTTTTCTTATTTTGATTAATTTTTACTAACTGCTCAGTATTTTCGTAAGTGATGTAAATGATTTAGAAAACTGACAAGTTGAAGAATGAGACACTTGTGTAATATTTAGGAATTTTTATTGAGGAAACGTTTCGCCGGCCAGTGGCTTCTTAAGTCCAGTTTTCTTAGACCCATGGGAATTTCGTATTCCTTAGGCCTATGGTGCTTATTGAATATTATCAAATATGAAATGTTAAGCCGTTTGGGTAATTCAGCATAATGTGTTCTGGAGGCTCGATCCACTGTCCTCTAATAGGAAGGTACAGGTTTGGCGGTGTGTCGATACCGTATTCATCGTTTGTATAAATGGTTTTGGAAACCAACAAGTTGATAAATGACACACTAGTGAAAAGTTTGGGTATCTTTATTCTGGAAATGTTTCGTCAGTCCACGGCAGGGAAGAACGGTGGAAGATGAGTAGGAGTTTGAGGTAATCAGTCCCTCAGCCTGGAGTGATGTGTTTAGTCCATCAGTCTTCTTCCCTGTACTGAACTGAAGAAGCCACTGGCTAGCGAAACGTATCCAGAATAGACACCCAACTGTTGCACAAGTGTCTCATTTATCAATTTGCCGAATTTCCAAAACCATTTATTCAAAATGTCAGACCCAGCAACATGTTGGGGTCTTCATGCAGAGATATCTTCGAAGTTTACCTAAACCTATAATCATGACCTACTTCTACCAGTGAATTTTTTTCGACTGGTGACGCCGCCCTCGCCTCACCTGTCTGCAGTATATAAGCCCCTTCTCCTCGCGTATGCTGCACTTTTATCAAGATTGATGGACTGAATACATAGACTCCAGGCTGAGGGACAGATTGCCTCAAACTCCTCATCTACTGTTCTTCCTTGTTTTGGATTGAAGAAGTCACTGGCTGGTGAAACGTTTCCAGAGTAAAGACACCGGAATGTTGTCGTGTGGGCGGTAGTTATCTCGTACCCACTGCATGGGCAGCAATCATTTCATAACCATCCTGTGGGCGGCATTCAAACGATTACAAGGAGACATAGTGGGTACAGAGGCTAGTGTCCAACATTGTATTACCTAAGAAAGTTACATGACCCTTGTGCGTTCGATAATAAAAAAGTTACGGGAGTACTGAACTGTTCACCAGAGCAATATTAAGGATTAAGTTAATGATAGTGATGAGTTCGTTTTTAGGCAGTTAAACAGTTAAGCTAAACTGCCCAAATTTAAAATAAATGTTTGCGAGAAAAAGTCATGCACTGAGATTCATTTTAGTGAGTGTATAATTTATAACTTCTGTACTATAACTTAACCTAAACCATCTTTGCTAAAATTAACACGTTTTAGCTTTATTCTACCAAGTCTGTATTGGATTAACTTAAATTTAGTTATTAGCATAGTTTTACACAGTATTTTAATTTCGCTTTGTCTTTTTTTTTTCGGAGTTGTTGTAGAAATGAATTACATCATCTCAACCATAAATGTTAACGGGGTAAGCCAGTGGAAGGCCTCTGTCAGATGACCAAAAGCTCCAGCTGCTGGTTATCACATGACTAGGACTCGTGTCAGGAAGCACTTGTCCTGTTTCCTGAAACCTCACCTAAATTAAATGAATCTACATTTTTTATGGGGGGGAGAACATTTATAAACCAAGGTCATGAACCCTACCTGAAGTGCAAACCATTTCCATTCTTAGGTTCTACGGGGAGTGGGCGGGCGAGGGACCCGTGTCCAGTGGTGTTACCACGCCCGTGACGGAACGGGTGGAACTACGCTACTATCTTGAAGACAACACAGGCGAGGTGCGTGTCCATCACCTCACCCCCACCAGGACGCCCTCACGCCCACACCACCCAGCCTCCCCACTAAAATCCTCAAGCGAGCGCCCATACCCAAGGTCAGTCTCAACATTAACTTTTTTTCTTTTGTATCTATTTTCATTTATGGTTAGCGCGGAGACAGAAGAGCAAGAACTTGATCGAAACGTGATGGCTGTTCCTGAGGAAAACGTTGTGTACCAGATGTGTAATGACACTTTTCCTTTCATGTGTTGCTTAATTTACCCATTTTCTTTAGCTTTCCTGCATTAAGTTTATCACTTGCCAGATATAATTTTAAAGTCACAATTCCGTGACTGAAATATTTCACAACTAACGAACAATTCCATTAAAGATACCCAAGTGTTGAACATGTGTCTTAATTTATCAACTTGTTGCGTCTCTGAACCATTCATCTACATTCCTGCCTGCACAGCAACTTCTTGGGATCTTAATACAGGGAATTCTTCACTTGCCTAACCCTTGGGTACGACCTACTTCCACATTTGACAAATGTGGTACCACCTACGACTGCTGCACCTCTCCTGCCTATTGTACATAAGTCGCTTCTTCGCACATGTGCTGTATTCTTTTCAAGATTGATGGACTGATCACATCGACTCAAGGCTGAGGGACTGATTACCTCAAACTACTACTGTTCCTCACCATTCTCCCTTGTATGGACTGATGAAGCCAGCGTGTGGCGAAACGTTTCCTCATTAAAGATACCCAAGTGTTGCACATGTGTCTAATTTATCAACTTGTCGGTTCTTTGAACCATTTATCTAAATTCCAGAAAACTTTAGATAACCTTTCCATCCGCAGGAACTTGATGGTCCGGGATCCACTGTTTCAATTTCTAAATCTTCCTCTGAATTGTGAGTTAATTGTGAAGGATAATTTTGCACCATATACATATATTTTACCATTGATTTCATACTGAGTAGTTGATGGCTAATTGGACTTAAATGCTATGGACATACTAGGGTGTGTGCCCATAAGCTTTTAGTCTATGGACACTCAAGCGCTGTATGACCCTTGTAGGTTTAGCGCTTCTTTTGATTATAATATTAATAGTATGGACACTCAAGATTTTTAACATTTACTTGTTAAAATCTTCGGTCTTTCTTCATTTTTTGAATATGTATTGTATCATATTTTACACTTCAGTTATCATAAGTATTTATTAAGATGTACAGTGGCTTATACGACTCTGCTTTTTTTGTCGTGAAATTTGTCGGTTCTTGATGCCTCTGATGTGGCAGACTGTATCAGCTCTCTCTTTTCTTATGAGTCATTTTAATGTTCTGTGGGTCCACCTTGAATAAGTAATGATGTACCGACACAATGGTGAAGACACACAAATGTAGTCATATGGAAGCCTTTATTGGCGACGTTTCGCGCACAAAGAGCTTTAATAAGTCAAAAACAGATAAACCATAAAACAGCATTTGCATCTCTTTACCAGAATTCTTGTTGAACGCCCTTCTCTGTCTGTTACTGACTGTTCACGTGTAAACAAATTTGTTGAATCTTTTGTTGCGAACGGTGCACATTTTCTTGCTGTTTTTTGTGTGCCACTTTCTCAGTGATTATTGTCAAATTAATTCCTTTTCATTTTTCTTATGTGACTGGGATAGCTTGGTTCTGTCTTTTCCTTAGATGGTGTGTGCATATCAGATTGTTTTTCTACTTCCCACCTCAGAAAAAAAAATCTCATTCTTCTGCTAGCTCCCTCGTCTCTTGTGTTGATTTCACCTAGCGATAAGTATGTACCTAGAAGCTAGTCGACTGTTACAGGTTTATAATAATAATAATAATAATAATAATAATAATATATAATAATATCTTATACAAGTACGTGTACAAGGTTACCTGGAGGTTATTCCGGGGATCAACGCCCCCGCGGCCCGGTCCATGACCAGGACTAGCTGACGTCAATGGCATACTACTATATAGAAAGCCGCTTGTTATGCAGAGCATTTCGGGCAAATTAGGCCAGTTTTGTCCCAGGATGCGACCCACACCAGTCGACTAACAACTCATGAGTAAACAAGAACAACCGGTGTAAGGAAACACGCCCAGTATTTCCACCCTTGCTGGGTTACATTATAAGGAAGAACTCAAGGAACCCAACAGAAATAAGCCACACGTTCTTTGGTCGGTTGGGTTATTAACTCGCCGAGGCTGATAATCAGAAGTCTTGTTCCAGGAACTGTGTGAGTTGAGCGGAGCGGCGGCGGTGGGTGCAGTGGGTCGACCCACTCTCAACTTGGTGGGACTAAGGGGCAGTCGAGCCCATCTCAAAGACAGAAGACCACAGGTATATCAAACTTTTCTGTTGCCTGACAAGTCGTACATACTGTTGTCTGTACGTGTTATCTGTTGCCTGTACCTGTTGCCTGGTAACTCATACTTTTTAACCCTATTGCCTACTATAAACGCTCGTATTTCCTGCTTCCTGTACCTGTTCATTGTATTGTTTCCTAATTGTAATTTTTCAACTTTTGTAAGTGCAGTTTAATCAACTTTATTTAAAGAGCGATCAATTGTGAATTAAAAGTTGAATAACATTTGGAGAAATACAGGTAGAATATTTAATAGTTGATGTGGATTAAAGCCCACCGATTACTCAAAGTAATTCAGACCGCATATCACCTGTTCACTAGTCAAGAATAATCTCTTAAATATAGATTAAAATAAATTCACAGCATATATACAGAGAGACAAGCATCTCTCGATGTACATATATTTTATAGGCAGCTGCGAGCCCAGAGTTCCTGGGTCCCAGCGACTTATTACTGGGAAACACTGTGCGGGTCGGAGGAAGACTGCTCAGGCTCTGTGAGTGTGACGCCTTTACTACTAATTACTACAAGAAAGTCTTTGATATTGGTAAGTCTTCATTTATCTAGCTCTTTCCCTCTCCGCTCTTCTACGTATGTATGTTTTTTATTTAGTTTGGAAATTCATTGAAAAAGTAAATTGAGGCCTATGGAGGTTACCTGTTCCAATAAGCCTGCTGCATTTCTCTTTTTTATATATGTATGACTTACCTGCATGCATATGGTTTGTTAGGTTAATGGGGTTGCAGGTCTATGGACTGCAATAAGGCAATTAAAGTTGCATGTAACATTTTCACTACCAAAAATATATCAATACCTAAAATTGGGATTAAAGTATCTGTCATTGTACATACGTCAAGAGAGACTCCAGGTGTATATATTGTGTCTCTAGCTAGACCGAAATATTTACATTATTATAATACTAGAGGTTGATAAGTCTTTTTTTTCCGTATTTCATTATATAGAATTAAAACCTGCAAATGTGCCTTTCCTTAATTCTTTAGTGTTATAGGTGACCAAAAAATGGGTTACCTGGAGGGAGTTTCGGGGGTCAGTGCCCCCGCGGCCCAGTCTGTGACCAGACCTCGCGGTGGATCAGGGATTGATCGACCAGGCTATTACTACTGGCCGCACGAAAACCGACGTATGAGCCAGTAGGCCGATGAACCTTGTCCTGATATTACAAAGCTTATTGAAAAATTTTCAGTGACTGACTACATTATGTTACACATTATCCTTTCGTGTTCCTCACTTGACGCTCTCAGTTGCCAATATTTGGGTTGTGTGTAGGACTGTTATCACTCAGCACAACAGTGTAGCTCTTGAAGTAGTCGATGCCAGCTTACTCTTCATTATATTAACAAACATTAATCTTATGGCAGTAACTGCTATGATGAGAATTTGCAATATATTTTGGAGTACTTTGTTCAGTTTAGTGTCATGCCATTTATGTTTTACTTGGTCATGTTAAATGTAGCTCATCATACCTGGAGTGTACCTGAAGAGGGTTTCGGAGATCAACGCCCCCGCGGCCAGGTCTGTGACCAGACCTCCGGTCTGATGTACTTATAATAAAATTAAAAAGTTTCCATGTCTTTCTGAAAGGTTTATGGTTTCAAATAGGAGAGCCTGAATGCTAGTGAAGGACTCTTCATCCAGGAATCTGAGATGACCTCCCCTTAAGTAGAACTTGATTACCTCCCATTTCTCAGGTGCCGAATTACCCTTACCGGTTCAGCATTACCCCTTGATTATGATTAAAATGAACTCTCCTCGTAAGTACCCCCATTACTAGGTGCTGTATAACTCGTATGGGTTTAGTGCTTCATGAATGTGTAACTAATAATAATGTGACACTGATATGTGAGCAGAGCAGCAGCCTACGGAATACCAGTACCTGCAGAGGAAGCTGGCGATCCCTAGAGTACCTCGCTCTGTGCCCCTGGACCCACGCTGGCTGGAGGAACCACCTAGAGACCCATTACACCCGCTACCCACCACTGTCACTACCCTAGTGGGTGGTATGCACGCCCGCTCCCTCAGGTAGGTCTCTGCGGTGGGTAAGCTTTATCTAGGGTAAACATACGTACATAATCAGTGTCTTTGCAGAGGCGCTCAAATACGACAGTTTAGATGTCACTCCAAACAGCCAATATCCAAAACCCTCCTTCAAACAGTCAGTCCCTCGATGGCCCACTGCCTTTCTTGGGTTATCCTGGGTGGCTAACCCTCTGGGGTTAAAAATCCGAACGAAATCCTATCTCTTATGCTTGTCTTGACGCTGCTGAAGGTCTCTTGCTCCAAGAAATTAGAGCTACCCGCCTGTGTAATCCCTACTGGTTTACAGTGCTTCTCCATTAAAAAAACATTTTCGTTTTCTCTGACTAAAAAAGCTCAGCTTCGTCTTGGTTTTCTATGACTCGCACTTTACAGGGACGACTGCGAAGATAAAATTCTACGTTTTGGGGCGCACCTCGTCACCGATAAAGAAAAGGACAGAGAGAGAGAATTCGTGATTAATTTTTATGTCTACGATTCGACAATATCAGTCTACGAAATACCCAAGATCAACTCAGGTCAGTAGCAGCAGTCTCTTACCTTAAATATTTTTATTTATTTGATTATGTAATATCGGTTGTGACATAAAATGTTTATTTAGGCACCAAACATAGGAACTCACTCATGATAAATTTCAGATAAATTTGACAAATAATTTGGGATGATATTTGTGTTTCTGATATTAAGAAATTAAAGAAAACTAATATCGGTTATTATGTGCATATTATCAGAAAATATTCATTAAAAATACCTCACCATAAAGCAAATCATTATACAGTAATACAAAATATATAATTTTTCAAGAGAAGGAAGGCCTCGGTCAGATGCCCAAAAGCTCTAGCTGCGGGTCATCATATGACTTAAGACAAACGTCAGGAAACACTTTATTTATTTATTTAGTAATTTAAGCATACAAACAGAGGTACAAAAAATACAGGTAAGAGCAGCATGCCAAAGCCACTTATATGCATAGCATTACGGGCTGGCTTAAAATTAACTTAAGATGAAATCAGTGATAAAACATTATTGTAAACAGATAACTATAAAGCACAAATGAGTATTACAAAGACAGGTCATATGGTTGCATGCATTGCTGTACATTCAGTCGAATGGAGTATTCTGTTAGGTAGTGTATTTAAAAAAATAATAAAGTTAAATTGGGTCCTAGGTTTAACATTTGTGTGATATAATTGTGAGTAACATATAGGATATACAATTTATAAGGTTCAGTTATTCAGTATTTATTTGGTTTTGAGTGAGTAAGTGATCTTTGAGAAGAGACTTGAATTTATAAACAGGTAGTGTTTCTTTTATATTTACAGGTAATGAATTCCAGATTTTAGGGCCTTTTATGTGCATTGAGTTTTTGCATAGCGTGAGATGGACACGAGGAACATCAAAGAGTGATCTGTGCCTTGTGTTATGGTCATGTGTTCTGTTGAGGTTGGCAAGGAGATGTTTGAGGGGAGGGTTAATATCAGAGTTAAGTGTTCTATGTATGTAATAGGTGCAATAATAAGTATGGATGTTTTGTATGGTGAGTAGGTTGAGTGTTTTGAATATTGGTGGAGTGTGTTGCCTGTAGTGAGAATTTGTTATTCTAACTGCAGCCTTTTGTTGGGTAAGTAGTGGTCTGAGATGGTTAATTGTTGTTGAGCCCCATGCACAAATTCCATAGGTGAGATAGGGGTAAATAAGAGAGTGATAAAGGGCCATGAGGGCTGACTATGGAACATAGTACCGTATCTTCGATAGCATGCCTACAGTCTTGGAGATTTTCTTAGAAATTTGTTGTATATGTGTATGAAATTTGAGTCTATTATCGAGGTGGATTCCTAGGAATTTTCCCTCTGTTAGCTTTGTGATAGGTGATCCGTTTATTGTTATGTTAAGAGGTACATCTGTAGCTCTGTTACCAAACTGAATGAAGTAGGTTTTGTCAATGTTTAGTGTAAGTTTGTTAGTCCTCATCCAGGTAGATATTTTCTGTAATTCGGTGTTTACAGTATTGGCTAGCGTGACTGGGCTCGGGTGAGAGAAGACGTATGTAGTGTCATCTGCAAAAAGTGTGGGTTTGAGTAATTGCGAAGCATTTGGTAGGTCATTTATGTATAGGAGAAAGAGAAGAGGGCCAAGGACACTTCCCTGTGGGACACCAACTGTAATTGGTTGTGCGGAAGAGCTTGCCTCATTTGCGTACACACATTGGCTTCTGTTGCTGAGGTAAGACTTGAGATAGTTGAGGGAGTGCCCTCTAATACCATAGTGTGACAATTTAATGTGGAGCAAGTCATGGTCAACTGTATCAAAAGCTTTACGTAAGTCAATGAAGATCCCCAGTGGGACTTCTTTTTTCTCTATTACAGTGTATATATGTTCTAGCATGTGTATAATAGCATCATTAGTATTTTTATTAGGCCTGAATCCAAATTGGCAGGGGTTGAGAATGTTTTGGGAGATGAGGTAGGAGTAGATTCGTTTATGAATTAATTTTTCGAAGATTTTTGAGAGAGGGTGTAAATTGGATATTGGCCTATAGTTATTCAACTCTGTTTGGTCTCCTTTATGGATCGGGGTGACCCTTGCTATTTTGAGAACTGTAGGGAAGGTGGAGGATTCAATGGATTTGTTAAAGAGTATTGCAATGATTGGTGATAGTACTTGTGACGCTTTTTTGTATATAAAGGGTGGTAAGGTATTTAAATCTCCTGCCTTGTTTTTCAGTGCGTTGATAATAAGGGAGACTTCGTATGGGTTAGTCGGAGCTAGGAACAGTGTGTTCGGGTAGTTGCCAGTGAGGTAGTCATTTGGTGGGGTATCTGAGCTTGGGATTTTATTGGCAAGGTTTTGACCTATAGTGGAGAAGAAATCATTGAGTCTGTTTGCTGTTTCTGTTGGTGGGAGTTGGGGTTCATCTGATTTTGCTAATTTTATTTCGCTATGTCGTGATATCTTTTTTGTTCCCAGAATTTCTGATAGGATCTTCCAGGTCTTTTTTATATCACCTCGTAAGTTGGATAATCTGTTCTCATAATACAATTTTTTTGCCCTTCTTATCAGGCTGGTTAGGATTGACGAGTAACGTTTTGTTTGGTCTCTGGTTATGTGACCCATTCTGTACTGTTTTTCATATCGGTGTTTTGTATTTATGGATTTGAGAATGCTGGGTGTTAGCCAGGGACTGTTCAGTCTCTTAGCTGTCATCTGTTTAGTTTTTTTAGGGCAGTGGTTGTTATAAAAGGTATTGGGTCTTTTTTAGAAAATTATTAAAAACATTCGTCAATATCTGTATAGATTTCTAGCTCAGTGTGCCAATCAATGTTTGTTACTGCTGTTGTGAAGTTATTAATGGCTGCCTCATTGTGAAGTCTGAAGGTGACTTTAGTAGTGTATTGGGGTATTTTACCAAGAGTTGTTATGAGGAAAGTAGGGTAGTGGTCTGTGGTATTATCTGTAATTATGCCTGATTTTAAAGGGGATATGGTGTTGGTCCAGATGTGGTCAAGTAGGGAAACACTAGTCTCTGTAACTCTTGTAGGTTTTGTTACTGTTGGTAGCAACATGCAGTTACTCATTGTGTTTGTGAATTCAGTAACGTGTGGGTCCTGGTCTTGCAGGAGATTTATATTGAAGTCACCTGAGAGTAGTAAGTGATCTTTGTTCATGCGTGCATCAGTTATCATACTTCCTAGGTTTTGACTAAATTGGCTTATGTTTGACTGTGGAACTCTGTAGATGTTTATCAATGTGAGAGGTTTTTGTAGGTATTTGGATTTGAATTTAGCTATTATATATTCCCCATGTTCATCCCTTGTGCAAATATTAGTGATACATTCTAGTTGGTCTGAGTAGTATATGGCAGTGCCACCCCCTTGTTGGTCTGGCCTACAGTTGTGTATGGCTGTGTAACCAGGAATGGCATAGACATCTGTAGTATCAGGCTTTAGCCAGGTTTCAGTTAGTGTAATGATGGACATATTGGCATGCAAGGAATTTAGTAATGCTAGGAGGTCATCGTAATGCTTGCTTAAAGATCTGATATTGTAGTTAAAGATAGTTATGTTGTTGTTAGCTCTGAGAAGTGCCTTTGATTGTTCTGCTGTGTAGTAATTACAGTAACTGTTTGAATCATTTAAGTCATTAAATAAGAGGTTGGTATCAGGATCAATGCTTGTAATCATAAGATTTGTAGTGAATCTATAGTTAGAATTAAGTAAAAAATAAAGTAAATATTCTAAAGCTAAAAAAAAAATAGCACCTGAATTATTTAACAAATGTAAAAATAATGAGCTAAGGTAGTTTTTTAAAGCTAAAATAAAGGAGACAATATAAAAGGGACTAAAATAATTTGTGGTGAACAAATAAAGTGATGATCGAATAATGGAGCTTGGGAATATGATAGTAGGTAGTACTTTAAAGGTAATTCTTTAGTTAGAATTATAATATAAAATTATAATATAAAAGGGACTAATATAAGTTGTGGTGAACAATAAAGTGGTAATCAAATAATTGCACTAAGGTCTAATATAATGACTTTTGTGGAGTCTGTTTTGAGCTAGAATGAGCTATAGTACAACTAGATTTAATCTAATAATATAACAATACAAATTAAAAATAGCACCAGTCTCTCACTAGTAATTGCAATATGGTCTAATATAATGAATTTGGTATTGACTATAGTACAACTGAGTTTAATCTAATAATATAAAAAAGGCACAAGACTCTCAATTGTAATTGCACTAAGGTGTTATATAAGTTGTTTACAAGAATAAGAGTATAACTAGATTTAAATTGACAATATAAAATATGCAAGTTAAGGTAGCAAAAGAATAAAAAAAGTAGAAAAAAAATATATGAGGTAGTTGGTACTAGTTAGCAAAAGATAGTTAAGGGCCTTGAACAATAATATAATTGAAAAATACACTAATTGCACACACAATATAGTCACTAAGATATGAAAACAATCTTAGAGTAGGAATTATAATACAAACTTATAATATAAAAATACAAATTGAAATGGTACTTGCAATTGCACTAGAGTCTGGTATAGGTTGTTGACAAGATCAGGAGTATAACTAGATTTAAATTGACAAAATATAATTCACAATTAAAGTACCAAAGAATAATAGTAAAAAAATAACAAGGGTAATGTCTTGGTTATAATATGATAGTAAGATGGTAGACAGGTACACAGGTACAAAGGATAATATAAAGGTTGGAGTTGAATATACAAACTTGAAAATTTGGCAACAAAAAGTTATGGGAAGTATAAAATAATGTTTAATGTACAAAAGTAAAATTGACTGGTAGTAAATATGGTGTTTAATAAAATTTTAGTAAGTAATAATGATTACAAAAGAGTGAAAAAGTAATGTTTATTTCATTCAATATTGCACTGGTAGTTATACTAGAGGTTATATGGCAGCACAAGGTAATTAAGAGTACTCTAAGATAGTAAATGTGGTATTAAAACAGGTAAGGTAATTAGACAAGTAATGGTTATTAAATGTCAAAAATGTTAAGAGTAAATTGAAAATTATAGTAAAAATGATAATTATTAATTTTAGTAAGTAATATCAATTGATAGTATTTAAAAAATATGAGGTAATAATATGGACAGAGAAAGTATCAATTCAGCTAATGTTTAAGCAAACAATAGTAAATAAGAAAATTACATAAGGTGACTTATGCTTACTAGTAAAAAACACAAAATGAGGTAGTTGATTATTTAATTACTAAGAGATTGTACAATGAAATTTGAACAATAATGGAGCAAAACATTCACTACACTACGTAGGCTTTTAGGTTGGACATTGTTTAGTTATTCTCTGTAAGATTAGTATCCCTGAGAAATCGTGATAGATCATTCTCGTTCGTTATTGTGTACAGTTGACCTACAATTTGTTTTCCTAACAAGAATTTTCCCATCTCGTGTGAAGCATTGGTGTATTGTGTCATTATTCTCCCGCTTAAGTTTTCTGACTCTATAAAGGAGGTTCTGACGTTTTTTGGTAAGACACTCGTTTATGTATACCTCTTTCTTTACTTTAATAGATGCAATAATTAAGTCTTTTTTACTGTCATGTGAGTGGAATCTAAGCATAACACTTTTTCTACCATGGGATCCTAGTAACCTGGCTTCTTTTATTTCTGACTCTGGTACAATAACACTTGTTTGGTCCTTTATGATCTGCAGAGTAATTTCTTTACTGTTTGTTTGGTTCATATCACTGGGAAAAAGTGGACTGTTGACTATTACTGCGTCCGATAGTTTATCTTGCTCAGTTTTATCTTCTTGGAGAGCAAAGTAATCACTGAACTGGTTATCTAAGTTGTTCTTCCATTCTTTTACTGCTTCTTCAACCTTTGTATTAAGAGATATTATTTGTTGGGTATGGCTATCTATGACTGCTTGGATGGTCTTGTCACAGTTAGTCATTCCTGGTGTTGATAACTTTTGTTCAAGACTGAGGATTTTGTTCTCGAGTTGTGTCATCCTGGTGTCTTGTTTTGTTAGCGTCTCTCGAAGATTCATATTTTCAATAACTAAGTTGGAGATGTATGTTTTTAGGGTATCTGGATCGTTGGTCATACCTGAGAGACTACTTGGTAGGTTGAATCCGGGGAAGAGAGGGGAGGATGGGCTGGTGGCAGCCATGTTTGTTGTTATTGTTGTGGTGTCGCCTTGAGCGGTGGTGAGTGGGGTGGTTGCTTGTCCTGTTTCCTGATAAACTTAACCTTACATACATAGAACACTTAACTCGGATATAAACCCTCCCCTCAAACATCTTACCAACTTCAACAGAACACATGACCATAACACAAGGCACAGATCACTCTTTGATGTTCCTCGTGTCCATCTCACGCTATGCAAAAACTCAATGCACATAAAAGGCCCAAAAATCTGGAATTCATTACTTGTGACCATAAAAGAAACACTGTTTATAAATTCAAGTCTCTTCTTAAAAACCACATACTCACCCACAACTAAATAAATACTGCATAACTGTTTCTCATAAATTATAACCTGTGACCCTATCAAACTTTTTTTTTAATTACATTACCTAATAGAATACTCCATTCTCTTGAATGCACTCATCAAATGACCATATGACCTGTCTTTGAAATACTCATTTGTGCTTAATTGTTATTTGTTTACTGTCATTTTTACCACTGAATATATCATTCCTTAGTTAATCTTAAGTTAATTTTAAGCCTGCCCATAATGCTCTGCATACAAGGGGCCTTTGGCATGTACACTTAACCAGTGTATTTCTTTGTACATCTGTGTATCATGTCCAAATTAATAATAAATAAATAAACCTATTACAAAGTTAAGTAGAAAACAATGCAACACATCAGACCATTAGTTCCGAGTTTGTTTTAATTCTGACGAGGTGTTACTGAAAGTGTTGTCGTTTCCTTCTCAAATGTTAATTGAACTAGCTGACATTTGGTACCATCGGTTCGTATTACAAAAGCATTCATCACAGCTGAAATAAGGAACGTAATGTTATTGTATAATATGGAGATAATTATAGTTGAAATGGATAACAGAACTTGAGAAGCACAAATTGGGGAACTAGTGCCCTCTGGTGCCTCCCCCTGGCTACGGGGCCGCTAATATTTTGGTCAATATTTTGGCTGTTTTGCCATCTTACTGTTTTAATATCTTTTCACATGGACATGTTTGTGCTGCATTTTCAAGAGTTGGCACATGAACCTCAGAGACAGATACCCTGTGTGGTACATTTTGTACCCTGTGTGGTACATTATGGGCTGCGGAAGATGATCAATAATTGACACACTTGTGATACAGGTGAAAGGCTAAGATCGAATCTCTTACTCTTCTAAAATTTAAATTCCCAATGATCGCTTCAGAACTAGGGATGCTAAGCCAATTACGATTCTCTTCAGAGAGAACAAGCGATTTGAAAAGAATTATCATTGGCTTGGCATCCCTAATTTTGAAGGTTCTTAATAGGATGGATAATGAGAACCTTCAGAACTGTGGATGCCAAGCCAATGATGATTCTGTTCAAATCGCTTGTTCTCTAGGCTGTAATATTGTTGTACACTAACGGCCCCCTTCAGGGCAGGCGAAATTGCAGACCTGGAGAATATACAGACGGAAATCACTTCCCACAAAAGCAAAAGACTCGGCAGGAGGTGTAACCCCCTCCCCCAAGAAGCAGGTGCATCAAGAGTACTATAAAACAACGCATTAAGTGTCAGTGGCCCAAATCTGTTCAACTGCCTCCTGGCATACATAAGAGGGATTGCCAAAAGACTCCTGGCTGTCTTCAAGGAGAAATTGGACAGGCACCTTAGGTCAGTTCCCGACCGGTTGGTCGGGAACTGACCCCACGGCCTGGTTATGGACCGGGCCGTGGGGGCGTTGACCCCCGAAACACCTACCCCAGACAAAATTAGTAATTGTTCAATACAGTGTTATTTAAACCCTCCTGAATTGATAAAACTTCAAAGTCTTGACAAAGTAATGGCATTTACATTTTAAGTTAAACTTGAGCCTCACTTTTCGAGCACTTGGCTTACATTTTACGAGACCTGAATTATTTACTACGAAAGTTGCTATTATAGTTTGGGTCAAAGATTTTAATTTGAAGTAGACAAATTTTCCCATAATGTTTCCGTCTGTTAAGATTTTTATCAATATTTTAAGAGATCGAAACGTCCAATAAAAGCTTGTTTTGCAGTGTTGCCCTTATTTAAATACAGCTATTATTTTCCTTATTTTGCTGTTGCCGGTGTCCCTGTTGTGCACAACACACACACTGTAATCTATATTTACATTTATTATTATTATTATTGCAATGTGTGTTTGTACTGTGAGGAATGCGTGCTGGTATGTTCCTGGGTCGCAGTCTGGTAGTGGAGCCTGGTGGTGCAGGTCACCTGGACGGTCAGCACCTCTACGCTGGCGCCACCGTCACCCTTAATTCACATGTCTTCCGTCTCACCCACGCGGATGAGTTCACTCACAACTACATGGAGGAACACGCAGACGAGGTACAGTTCTCTCAAGTATTACATTCCTGCTTGCTGTTTTCATTCATCCTTATTTTTGTCATATACATGTAAAATTTCAAATTAATTTTGCATAAAGAAAATTGTCTTGCAGTATTTTCTTTTCAGGTTAATGGAATATTTTTATCAACAGGGTATATACACTCAGAGGAGTATTTCTCGAAGCATATATATGCTTAGAGTTTATTTTAGGGATTAAATTGGTCTTTTCTGTTGGTGGAAAAATTACGTGCAGTCTTAATAACGATAGTGTAGTAGATAGGCTTTAAAGACCATTAACCAATATTTTTGTTGTCTTCCAGTTAATGTTTTACTCTTTCATTCACTTCAAGTACTTTTGGGCTTGAACACTAACAGGTAACCACCTGAAAACATCCGTGTCTTTGATAAGATTACCGTTGGGCTGGTTGTGGTTGTTGGTTAATTAGGCTTTAAGCCTATCGGCTACCCAGAAGGTAAGGCTGCTTGTCACTTATTCACTACCAGTCAATAACTCTTTAATCCCCAAAACAGGGATTAAGGTAAACTCTCAGTGTATCTACCCTAAAACATGTACATCTCTCGGCCGGGTTGATTATATCTGGCTCACTATTTTTATGGCACTGTGGGGGTGGGCACTGTGGGAGTGGGCGCTGTGGGTTAGGGCTTACGCTACTCAGCATCTGCTTCAAATGTTTTGAATTCAAATCCAGCTAGATGGATGGAGTATCTGTAACGGGTACTGTCTAGTGTACTTCCCTATGTGACTGGTACCTCTGGTGTACTTCCCCATGTAACTGCTACCCCTGGTGTACTTTTCCATGGAACCAGTACATAACAGTGTCCTTCTCCGTGTTACTGGTACTGCTTGATGTACTTCCTCATGTAACTGGTGCTTCCTAGTGTACGTCTGCACGTAACTTGTACTTTCCTATGTGCTGGTACTTTCTAGTGTACTTTCCTGTGTAACTTGTACCTCCTGGTGTACCATCTCATTGGTGCTCCCTCATCTACTACCCTATGGATATATGTCGTGCCGAATACGTAAAACTTAGGATTTTGGCTTAAATAGCAGCGCTCTTCTTGCCGAATACGGCAAGCTAAAATTTGTATATGCATTAATTTTGCAAAAAATATTCTGAAGCTAACTAAATTATATTTGATTGTGTTTATTATTAAATGATTGTAAGGTTATCTAAACTATATTTAGTTGGACTAGGCTAAATTAAATTGCGCTTGTTATGATGTTAGGTAAGTTTTCCAAGGTTCTTTTGGTACAAAATTGTTAATTTTTACATTAGCATAAATGAAAAAAATATCTTTAAACATATAAGAGAAAATTTTAGAAAGGACTTAATTTTAAACGAGTTCTTGCTAACTGACCAATTTTACCTATGGAGTAAATGGTGAAAGTTTTTGTTTTTCGGGCCACGATGTGTTAATAATATAAAATAATTCTATGGTTAATCTCATTCTTAATAAACCCATCCGCTGACAAGTCAACTCCCAAACATCTGAAAACATTCACTTCTTTTGTACTCCCTCCTATGTGATATCCAATTTTTCTTTCCCTAACTCGTTTGATACTCTTATAACCTTACTCTTATCTGTGTTCGCTTTTAACTTTCTTCCTTGATGTACACTGAGGAAAATGCATCTGTGTATTATATACATCAAGAAGTGTATATATCTGTTTATACATGTAAGTGTATCCATATATACCAGAATATATGTTATATTCAACGAGAAATATAAATCTCTATATACATCAACAGTTTTCTCATTATTTTAGGGAATCTAGTTATTCTTGATGTTAGTGTATGGGCAAATTGCAGCCTTAATGGTCATTCGAAAGTTTCGAGAATAATACTGAATGGGTAACTCTCGCGGAACATGAGGTAAGGACGTCTCCCACATCTTACTCGCAGATAAGCAGATGAAAGTAAGTTATACCCCTGAGCTCCTTCAAAGGGAGGGGGGTTACCTGGAGGTTATTCCGGGGATCAACGCCCCCGAGGCCCGGTCCATGACCAGGCCTCCCGATGGATCAGGGCCTGATCAGCTAGGCTGTTACTGCTGGCCGCACGCAGTCCAACGTACGAGCCACAGCCCGGCTGATCCGGCACTGACTTTAGGTATCTGTCCAGCTCTCTCTTGAAGGCAGCCAGGGGTTTATTGGCAATTCCCCTAATGCTTGATGGGAGGCTGTTGAACAGTTTTGGGCCCCCGACACTTATGGTGTTTTCTCTTAGTGTACCAATGGCGCCCCTACTTTTGTTACCTTGATATTGTTGCAGGGCTCTTGATTTAAGGAATTGGAAGCTACACTTCTGTTGGATCAAATCTGAATACCTCTGTCTTCATCCCCTGTATAATATAATTAATATTGATAATAATATAATCGTCGCAAAGGCTCCTTGCCCATTCCTCACGTCAAGCTCAGCTGAACCTGACTTAAATTAACAAGTTACGACCCCTGTGAGACTAGCCATCAGTCACAACACTATTCCCAAGCAGCTATGATACTCCTCATTACTGTGTAAACAAGCCAGGGAGCACGCGAAATATATATCTCTGGCTCTTATCACATCAGGATCTTAAACAGCGGACTGCTCTGTCCTAATGGAACAGTTAGTACCTTCACCAAGCCCTTTTCCTCGCTAGGTTTGGTGACGTCAAAGTCAGAGATGTGTTGGTTGGGAAACAGTGGGTCGTCAGTGTCATAACCACTCCTTGACGGCTATGGCAGGCATCAACGATGCTTTTTTTTATTGGTAGTGTTATTTCAAGATGCTCTGATATTGTGTGCAGACTAGTGTTATATTTAGAAAGTTGTCTACGAGAGCACCGGAATGCATGTAGTAAGGATGACCAATTCAATACACATAATTCATTTTTCTGCAGTATACAGGTAAATGTAGTTTATATGCAATATGCTCCTGGTCACGACTCAAAGCTCTTATTGCAACCACCCAACCACAACTCCTGTAGTTTTATTTCGGAAGTCATGAACAAATTAATTTTAGTTTCCCAACAGGACACACACAGTGATTACCTTAGAAGATAGAATTAGAGCACTGTTGTGGGCCTGTTGGCTCATGCCAGCTGGGTCCCTCTGCCCCCCTCCTCTCCCTGCATGACAGCTGTACTGGTCTCTGCTGTGTCTGACAGGAATGTAGATAAATGGTTCAGAGAACCGACAAGTTCTTCTTTGTATGGACTGATGAAGTTACTGTGTGGCGAAACGTTTTCTCAATAAAAATACCCAAGTGTTGCACATGTGTCTAATTTATCAACATATCGGTTCTCTGGACTATTTATCTATATTCCTGTCAGACATAGCAACATCTTAGGATCTTAATACGGGGAATTCTTCACTTGCCTAACTTTTAGGCATGACCTACTTCCACATTTGGATTTGTCCAGTGTGATACCGCCTACTGCTGCTTCACCTCATCTGTCTACAGTATTTAAACCATTTCTTTGCACATATGCTGTATTCTTTTCAAGATTGATGGACTGATTACATCGACTCAAGGCTGAGGGACTGATTACCTCAAACTACTCCTGTTCTTCACCATTCTCCTTTGTATCGGGTAGGCCCAGAAATTTATTGGCCTAAGTGTTGCATATGTATCTAATTTATCAATATATTCCGTATGTTGTTGCTGCTGCTAGGCGCCTAAGTATGGTTATCTTAGGATGACCGCTATTTTTTCCAATATTATTTTATATTCACGACTAAGCTGGGTAATGGGAGGTAATCAGGTTTGATTTCGGGATGATGGTAGCTCCAGTTTCCAGGATTTAGAACCCTTTCAGAAGTTAAGGAATGCGGACCTCCATGGAGAACCAGCGTGAGGAATGTTGAACGAACACAGGTAGCTACTGCTGGAGTCTTGACGACCAGGTCTGGTGACAACTGTGACCCGAAGCCAGGTTTCCTTGCTGAGTGGTCATCCAGATTGTTGCTGCTAGTGGCCTCATAGAACCATCACAACCCTACTGATCGGGCTCCTAGCGCCTTGTCCTCATGCTTCTCCCTGTGTTATCCTACCTGCTTTTTTTCCCCCCACAGTTCCCGCAAGCCAACTATAATGTTGCATTGGACGAGGCTCGGCGCTGTTTGGGTCACCACCAGCTGACTGACCTCCTTCACCAGATGACCCCTCGTGACCCCGAGAAGACAGGCTTTGCTCCCACCTCCGTAGTGGTGTCTGCGCTGCTCACCGCGCTTAGTGAGTATAAACCTCCCTGTTCAGTGCCTGTTGAATGTGGCAGGGCTGTATTGCCACAGTCCCCAGAATGTTGGGGACTGTGGCAATAACAGGTGGCTATCCCACTGCTGTCAAACAAGGCTGGCGGCTGTGGTAATAACAGGTGGCTCTTCTGTTCTATTACAGAAAGCCGAAGGTTGTGGTAATAACAGGTGGCTCTCCCATTTTTCCGTCACAGAAGGATCGAAGTTGAGCTTGCAGCAGGTGACTACCTTGGCACGCCGTCACCGTCGCCTGCAGGCCAACCCTCTCACCCGCCAGCACCTCTCACACCTCGCTGCCCTTCACTTCAAGCGGCACAATTTTGATGGTCAGTACTACCAACACGTGAGTCTGTACCCCGATTGTAGATATTTGTACAACACTTGGGTATCTTTATTGAGGAAATGTTTCGCCACACAGTAGCTTCATCAGTCCAGTACAAAGAAGAATGGTGAAGATCGGAAGGAGTTTGAGGTAATCCGTCTCAGCCTGGAGTCGATGTATACCTGGAGGGTGTTCCAGGGGTCAACGACCTCGTGGTGGATCAGGGCCTGATCATCTAGGCTGTTACTGCTGGCTGCATGCAAACCGACGTACGAGCCACAGCCCGGCTAGTTGGGTACGGACTATAGGTGCCTGTCCAGTTCCCACCTGAAAACAGCCAGGGGTCTATTGGTAATTCCCCTTATTTATGCTGGGAGGCAGTTGAACAGTCTTGGGTCCCTGACACTTATGGTATTGTCTCTTAGCGTACTTGTGTGGCCCCTGCTTTTCACTGGGGGATGTTGCACTGCCTGCCGAGTCTTTAGCTTTCTGAAGGAGTGATTTCTGTGTGCAGATTTGGGATTAGGCCCTCTTAAGATTTTTTAAGTTTACATAGTGGAATCTAAATTGTAGCGAAATGACTCATGGATAGTGATTCAGTAAGATGGAACTAAAACTGTGGCAACACATATAGTGCCACAAACCCAGGGGTAATGTTACCATATACGCCTAGCAGCGCCGTACACGCCAGGCATCGTTACCCATCAAAACCTCTCTAACTCGACGTATACCACACACCACAAATTAATCTTAGCAAGAAATCATGTGCTTGACTTGTGTATGTGTGGAGATCGGGAAATGTACCTGATTTGGAAAAGTCTGGTATGTTATACACATTAATGTTTTTGATGTGTAGTAGGTCTCGGTTTTAAATACATCTCGCATACCCTGTCTACAGATCAAAAAGGGTTTAAAGTGGAAAATCGGGTCTTTCGTGGCACACAGTTTTAAAGTAGGATGTAGGCAGGATGCCAGTACAGTATACCTGTGGGAGATGTGAAAAGGTCCTTGGAAAAAAAATCCAAGATCACAAGCAACCTGTGTTTTTTCCATACATCATTATCTCTTATTTAAGAATAAACATTGCCTCTAAAAAGAAAATCCAACTAGCAAGGCGTTTCTGGTTTTGGGCAATAAAGATTGGAACTGGACAGGTATCAAGAGTCCTCAGGTTGGGTAATAAATAATAGGCAGGAAAACGAAGAGGAAACTCCTGGATAATCTACCCAAATATATAGAACATGGGGGGGAAGGGAGAGAAGTAAAACTTAAATACAGAATGCCCCCACTACAAAAGATGACTTGGAAATAGTCCACCCACTGAAAAAAATACAGGAAACAAAACATCAGCTAGCCTAATCCCCATTTCCATAGTGCTAACCCCCGACTCAGCCCACTGCACTAGTGTTGACCCAGACTCAGCCCCCTGTCCTTTGTGCTTATTCATGACTCAGCCCCAGCCTTAGTTTCCTAATCCAGGGCTACTAAAGACTACCACAGCCCCGACTTTAAAAACCTTAAAAAATGCAACCATCATTATACAAAACCATATCCCATATTACAGATGTAGTGGAACAGTCTTCTTCCGGGAAAAATATGTTGGTTTCTTGAACAGAAGGTTGGGGCTCGGCTTTTTTACTAAAAGTTTTGTAGTGAGCCCTAGAAACTTACGAATTGAGAAAATCTACCACAAAATTCTGTCAAGCAAAAAAAAAAAGGTGCAAATTTAGTTGGGCATCTATAAGCATGGAACCAAAAGAAAAAAAAAATAGGACTTTGGCATCCCTTAATTCCCCCTCCTGTCTAAAAGAGCGTGTCGTTCCGCCTCCTGAAAATTCTTTGCCCAGAAATGTTCCCTTTTTCCAGCCCTCCAAAAAAATGCTATAACACCAACTGCCCTGCATACCCTAAAAAGGGACCGGAGGTACAGATCCCGTAAAAAAAAAGGTAGTTGGGGAACTGCACTCCAATGATTTCTAGGGGCGGGGAAAAACGAAGAAGGAAAAGGGGAAGGAAATGGCCCAAAAATAGTCCCCTTGGGGTTTTGGGGGGGGGGGGGGGGGGCACACCCGGTCCCCCCCCCCTTCCCGCCCCCCAGAACTACAGTTACTGCCCCCGAACCCCCCCCTTCAAAAAAAAAGAATACGACCTCTTTTTCTAATAAAAGGGCCCTTAAGCCACCCACCAACAACAAAATACTTTTCACTGGGCTTTCCAGAAGGTCAAATGCGATGTTTTTTTTAGCCTTACAGAGACCCACAGGAAGTTTCCCCTTTGACAACAAAAATGGGTAACGGGTAAAAACCCTTTTTAGTGCGAAGAAAGAACAGGCAACAAGGGGGGGGTTGACCCGTATGTCAGTGTCATCTGCACAGAGTTTTGAAAAACCACAATGAGTAAATGAAATTTTAAAAACCCTAAAGATCGGAATCAGGGGGTCTGGGAAAAAATTTAAATTATTGTCTGGAAAGTTTCCAGCCCATGCCAGACATCTTGCTGCTTGGGATTTTTTAAATTAAGAAATGCAAAATGGAAGAATGTAGCAAATGTTGTACCAGAAAGAACCCTGGAGCAGCGCAGATGTAAAATCACCACACATAGCTGCTGAATTTCTGCAGATGTGGAGCCAAAAACACTGGAAAACACACTTGGCCTTATTTTCATAAATAATGAGGACTTGATAAGAAACAATATAAAAAATGACCAATTCCGATCACAATCTAATCGAAGTTCAAACTTAAATGCACAGGAGTCCTGACCAGCGAAATGCATGCAGCTATGAAGGTGTCTTCACCAAATTCAGCTTTAACAGCAAAAACATCAACTGGGATCAGGTGAACCTTGTCTTAAATGAAACTTGTTGGTAAAATATCTTAGATAACATGGGGTCCAAACCAGTGCCTTGAAAAGATCAACTTCCTGTCAGCAGAAGTATGATCAAGGCATATTCCCCTAAGAAAAAAGAAAAGTAACTGGAGAGAGAGACGCTCCCTCTACTTAAGACGACGAAGACTCGCTGAGCTTAAGACTGCTAAATTATTCGATACACAGAAGGAAGTGCTGGCCAGGGAAGTGGAAAGTATCGAGTTTAAGTTAAAGGATTCATACAGGATCCAGGAGAGACAGGAGCTAAAAGCGATTAGTGAAATTGAAAGAAATTCGAAATATTTCTTTTCATATGTAAAAAACAAAGCAAAAACCACATCTAGTAATGGGCCCCTGTTCAGCCAAAATGGGACTTACACAGATGACAACTAAGAAATGAGTGAGATTCTGAAATCTCAATACGACTGATCCCTCATGGAAGGTTCCTTGATGCTGGTGAGGGGCTCTTGATCTAGGGAATTGGATATGTGCTCCAGTTCCCTGAATTAAACCTGAATGCCTTCCACATCCCCCCACAGGTGCTGTACAATACTACAGGTATAGTGCTTCCCCTTTGATCATAATAATACGACTGACTGTTTAGCGAGCCACTAATCAGTCTAAAGATCGAGAGTCCAAATGATTTTTTCATGAATGAGTCTCAAAACTCCATGAATGTATGCCAAATTTCTGACATTACCCTAACTCCACTGGACTTTGAGAAAGCCATTGACAACATGCCCATGCACTCAGCCCCAGGCCCAGACTTGTGAAACTCTTTGTTCATTAAGAACTGCAAGAAACCCCTTTTGCATGCCCCAAATATGCTATAGAGAAGGCGTTTAGACATCGGTGAAATTGCCACCATAAAGGTGGCAGCAAAGCAGTAGCTAAGAACTATAGACTAATGGCTCTAACGTCCCACAGCATAAAAATCTTTGAAAGAGTACAAAGAAACATGATTACATACTACTTGGATTCCCCAAAACTGCACAATCCAGGGCAACATGAGTTCAGAGCAAGTCGCTCGTGCCTCTCGCAACTATTGGATCACTATGATATGGTCTTGGATGCACTGGAAGACAACCAGAATGCAGATGTAGTATACACAGATTTTGCAAAAGCCTTGACAAGTGCAGTAATGGTGTAATAGGACACAAAATGCATGCTAAAGGGATAACTGGCGAAGTGGGCTGATGGATCTTCACCTTTCTAACCAATCGAACACAGAGTAGTGGTAAACAGGGTTAAATCGAAGCTGCCATATTGAAAAGCTCTGTTCCAAAAGGCACGGTATTCTCCCCCATCCTGTTCCTCATCCTCATATCAGACATAGACAGAAATGTAAATCATAGCAGTGTCATCCTTTGCAGACGATACTAGGATTTATATGAGACTCGTCCATTGAGGATGCAAACCAAGTTTTCCAGTGGGCAGCAGAAAACAGTATGATCAGTGAAGACAAATTCCAACTACTCCCTTATGGAAAACTGGAGATAATAACTAGAACTGAGTACGTATACTACGAACTCTAATAATACAATAGAGCGGAAAAGTAATGTGAAGGTCCTGGGAGTGGTAATGTCTGAGGATCTCACCTTCAAAGATACAACAGTGCCACTATCACATCTGCGAAGAAAATGATAGGATGGATAATGAGAACGTTCAAAACAAGAGATGCAAGCCATTGATGATCCTTTTCAAATCACTTGTTCTCTCTAGGCTGGAATACTGCTGGACATTAACATCTCCATTCAAAGCAGGTGAAATGGCAGATCTAGAGAATGTACGGAGAACCTTCACTGCACATAATTTCCGTCAAACACCTTAACTACTATGAATGCTTGGAAACGCTTGACTTGTATGTACTTGCTGGAACTCAGGCAAGAGGGATGCATCATAATCTCCACTTGGAAAATTCTAGAAGGAATGGTCCCTAATCTACACACAAATCACTCCCTACGCAAGCAAAAGACTGGGCAGGCAGTGCAAAATACCCCCAGTGAAAGTAGGGGCGCCATTGGTACACTAAGAGAAAGCACAAATGAGTGTCTGAGGCCCAAGACTATTCAACAGCCTCCCACCAGACATAAGGGAAATTACAAGTAGACCCCTTGCTACCTTCAAGAGGGAGCTCAA